AAGACACGCAGGTTAGGCTTTATGCTTCACTTCTCTGTAGAGCTTGGGTACAAGATGTGTTGATGACAAAAACCTCGGGATGGAGTCACATACCTGGGTTCCAGTGGTTTGAACATGTAACAAAAGACTTCATTTTCAACAACACTGTATGGACGCAGATCTTTGCACATGAAGTAGCTGATGGACTGTGTTATTTTCTTAGCTCTCTCAGAGTTGGATGGTAGTTTTGTCAAGCTAAGTGTGTCCAGTGTTGGTTGATTTTTCGGTGGAGCGAGTTTAGCGTTAGCTTGACCTCAGCACCTCTTTCTCTGAATGGTGGCGTGTGAGGTGAGCCCTAATCTTTGCAGTATTCCCAGAGTATTTATTCTCATATGATACTGCTTGCAAATCGCATGTGTCATATCCAAGTACTCCTTTAATTCCATGTGCATCCTGTATTGATTGCCCCCCTTTAGAATCTACAAAATAAAACAGGAAACAGATTAAACATAAATTAATTACATGTAACAAGGAAGAGCACAAACAGAAAACTCCAAAACAAAGTCCACAAGATAACAGAATATCAACAAAAACCCATGACATCTGTGATAGACAGTGATTAAATTATTTATGTGTCACGTGTCACAGCAGTCCTTTTGAATATGAGGTCCAGAACTTTGCTGGTCTGTTATTATTAAAGTAATATAACGCGTTACCAGCAGGATTTCAGGAAATATTATTACATTTACAGTGTCATGTAACACATTCACACCCGAAATAAACTGTTTATTGTCTTCATTTTCATTCACCCACACCCCTCTACATCTGCCAGTGCACCAACAGAAGAAACGTCATCCGAAGGTTGTGTGCTGTGTTGTGATGTCATTAATTACACGCTACCTTATAGACGGGTGCCGGTGATCGTGTGTGTTATCATGTCCAGTGTGTTTCCATTCACATACACATATCATATTCTGCTAATAATAAGTAACTTATTACTCTACACAGAGAGTAATTTGTAAATGTAACTTATTACTTTTAAGTGAAGATAACTACTGATATGTAATGTATTACATTTTGAGAGTAACATGGTCAACACTGGTGGTGTTAGGTTAAGTGAGCGTCACGTGATGGTGAAGAGCCCACAAACTGATACTACCTGGAACTTTAAGTGTGAATATTGGGACAGACCTGTCAGATTTTCTATCACAACATTTAGCTTGTCTGTTGTAGCTGTATGTCAATCAAATCCAATCAAAGATCAGCTGTGAGGGCAGCATCTCCACTCTGTAAACGTCATTGTGTTTCTATAGTTCCAACAGCTTCAATAAATTCAGGAATCACAAACTTTCATTCATATCAGATCACCTTCCTAGTAATGAATCGGGACTTCCAGTATTTGCACCAAGAAGCTCCAGAAAAAAAGATGTGTCAGATTTAGAAGACTACGGTTTTAATCATATTTCATCAACATTTTATATCTTGTGCTGCTGTGTGTGTCTTTGTGTGTTTGAATATGTTTACTGAGCATCTTTGGCACAATACTTTTGTTTAGATGAATTCAGTTCTATCTTATCACATTTCTAGGTTGTAGCGTGAGTGTGCAATGAGCAGCTGTGTCATGTAGTATCAGACCAGGCTATGCATCAGCTGACACTTGAAAAAAGAAGAAACTTGGTCACTGGAAATAAATGGATGTATAAGCACTAACATCCTTCAGTTTCTCCAGAGCTCCTCAGAGTCAGACAAAAAGCGGGATTTATGCTTATAAAATCCAATGGAGAGATTAAAGGCTGCATAAGAAATTTAGATACAACAAATATCATTAGAGTCTTTATAAAGTTTTGTTGGCCTCAGGTGACTGAAATCTCAGGTGACTGGAAGGACTGAACAAGGAGACGCAGCGCTGCATGTCTGCCTCCACAGGCTGTTTGACAGTGATGGAACATCCTGTCGTGTGTGTGCGTGTGTGTGTATGTTTGTGTATGTGTGTGATGGCAGACGACCAGATGGCTGATGGGAGGAGACTTGACAGGAGAGGTGAACTGTACCAGAGGGCAAGAGCTGAATGGAAAACACACATATTACATGATGTATGTACACAGGATTTGATTGCTTTAGAAAGATCTAATTAAAAAATCCATAATACAGATTTTTTTAAATTAATTAATTAATTTAAATGATTAAAAATGAAGTTGCAGCTGAAACGCTCCACAGGTATTCAAACTGGTATAAAAGGTGAGGATCACCATGATGCTCTCTCCTCCTGCTGTCTGAACCTGATCACACTGAGGAGTGTTTTTACACTGAGAGGCATCATGCTGTTGCAAACCAAGTCACTGAGCTGAATAAGACAAACATCATAAGCCCCTTTCAGACATGTTAAATTTGTTCTATGTAACATTGCTGGCATCATATTTATGTTAAAGTAATGGTTTTTTGTCACTCAGATGTTGGTGTATGTTACATAAATGTTCCATAACAGCTTTATTCTGACATGACCAATGTTTGAGGCAAGGCCAGTGCACCTTTCAACAACAAGGCAATTCAAAGCACTTAAGTTATAAAGGTCATAGATACACAGTTATATAGAAAGAAACAGAAAAAAATCCTTCAACCAATTTGAAAAATTCAAAATCACAGAATTTGGAGATACATAGTTTCCACTGGACAGCACCGAGCTTTATGTCTTTTGTGCTACATTTTTTCAGGCTGATCTGACAGCTTAAAATGGGCTCATTCACAGGGTTTCATGGTTTAATTTGTATTTTCTATCCGTATAAGACAGTAATACATTCATTTCATTGCTCTTAAAAGGGCAGAACACATTCAGTCTGTCACTTGTGCAGCTGTGGCCTTCATGTTAATCTGAACTCACACCAAACAGCAACCTCTGAGGCTGAAAAATTAAGCCAATGTAGATGTGCCAGAAACCCCTATGTTAAAATGTACAACAGAAATAAACATGTTTACAGCCTGGTACAAAAAATAGTTTTGGTCTCTCAAGCTAATTTTAACATTCAGGACAAATGTACAGGGGGTGAGTTTTTTTCATAACTTACCTGTTTACATTTTATTAAGGCTTAAATTTACACATATTTGAGGGCGAGGCCACTTGAGTGACAGGCTGTCTACCGCTTCCTCAGCTTCTTGGTCAGATCCACCCCTCAATCCTCCACAGCTCCAGCCTCTCGCCCAAATATGGTCAGTTATGGCTCCAAAAAATCAAGATGGCGACCGTCAAAATGCTGAACTCAAGGCTTCAAAATGGCAGTCAAAAAAACAAAACAATGGAGGACGTCATAGTAGCTATTTCCATTATTTACACAATCTGTGGTTCACACTTGAGGTATTAAAGCAGTTAAGGAATATTTCAGGTTCGTCCTCGCTATGTTGCTGTTGTGACTGTTAAAAGTGACTTGAGTCCAGACCTCTGCCAGCCGAGGCCAAACGTGCTCAGAGTGTTTAAACAATACCTTGAGAACAACGAGCAAAGGAACCTGATCAGGTGAGCCATGAAATACAGTCGGTAACTCATTTTTTAGATTATTCCAACACAACATATATACAGCACAAGGCTGCGGAGGTAACTGGGATGTCCGCTATTTTCCCCTCAAAGAATGACAGATCATTGGTCAGTTGGTTTTCTGTAACATTGTAATGAGCTTACATAGCCTAGCTACATACAAGAAGGATGCTGAATCAGTGCATTCAAATGAATATTTTATCTTTAATAATGTCAGTTTTCCTAAGATGTAATACATTGCAGTCATGGAGAAACTGACACCATATTTTGCAGAAAGTATTGAAACTTAAAAGTTCGATACATTTACATGTATCAAGTCAAAGGAACTGATGCTGTGAAAAAAATAGATCCACCCGTCACTAGAAGTTTATGCAGACATGAGATCAACATGTTGAATTCTCATCACAATTAAGCCGTATGTAACAAGCTGCTGAAAGGGGTTGTAAAAACTAAAAAACAAAATGCACTTCTTATTTGCCCTTCAGTATGCTCAGCATGTTCAAAGGCCAATCAAAATTTCCACCAATATGAATTTTTTGGAGATTTTTAACCATCTGTGTTTTTTAAAAAGGACAAATGTTCTGCATGTTTTTAATATGATGACCTGGTCGCCATGGTAAATGCTTCCACTTCTTTCCTGTTAGCACTGATGTGCAAGCACAGACTTGAAATGATTGTAATCACACACACACAGACACGCAAACACAGTCTGTGACCTTGTCCAGATGGGCCAAGCAAGCAGAGCGTCACTAGAGGAGCGAGTCACCGTGGCCCCAACAGATTTTGGCCCCAGGATCATCTCCGGCCCCCTGTGGCCTCCTGGAAAGCAGCCAGACAGCGAGCTGCGTCACTCTGCTGCTGCTGTGTCTTGACGTTTACCCCAAAATATCAGGCGCACATGCTGTCTGATGACACTGATGACTGTAACAGAAGATACTATGACTCACAATATGAAGCAGTTTAGTTTTTCTGTGTGCAGCTGAGGAGCAAAGCTGGTCCTCTTCATTGTTTCATCAACTTCTTGATGTGACAAAATTTTACCATTTCAAGCAGCCAGTGTGATCTGTCAAAGTAAGGGAGGGAGTTCATTTATGTTTACGACTTGTAGACAGTCATGTCATCGGACATGGTTGCATGTTGATAGGTACTCGAATCCTTAAAGGTATCGACTGAAATAACCCAGTGGAATGGAATGAAAACTTCTCCAAACAATTCCTACATTCGATCCTTTTGTACCAGGATCTAGAAAAAAAATTAACAATTTGTATGGTTTTGCTTGTGACCAATGGTGTCAGATGCTAAAAGATGCCCCGTGCGTCAGCACCAGACACAGAAGGGCACGACAAAGCATCAGTATTTGACAATCTGGGAATGAGAGCAGGTTGAGAGAGCACAAGGTATCACCGTGGCATGTACTCACAATAATGTGACAAACCCAACCTTCCACCTGATCTGAGCTAATAATGATTCATTTTCATTTGTTTCTGTGTTGCAGGTTTGTCAGCAGCTGTGAAGAAGACACACACATGTAAGTTCACTGTTTCTTACTCTCTTTTCACCAGCTGTCTGTTGAAAGGGGAACTAGGTATGACACCCAAGTCTGGTTAAACTATTCTGATTTGGAGGCAGCTGTGTTGTCTCTTCTGGCTCTTCTGGTTTATCTGCTAAGAAAGTGACTGTTACTGGTGGATTTGGGGATGAAAAAGGCATTTAAGATGCTGGTCGTGAGTCCAGGAGCTGGACTCATCTCTGACACAGGCCTGTTTATTTTATAGTAATCTGGTTTGGAAATAATCTGATTGTTTAAGAAATGAATGTGCTGAGGTTTGTCGTCTGTTGAGATGGTTGTCATAGATGGATGATGTCACCCGGGGAACTCCGCTCCATTATTCCAAAAGTTTGCACCTTAAGCTTTTCACTTGTGTGTCAAGGTGTAGATACGTATATCTGTCATTGGTTTTGACCGGACTATTTCCTCAGTAAGAAGTCATTCTAATAGAAATAGTTTAAGTCTTTGGATTTTCCCAAATAATTAAGACACCTTGCATCACAAAAGACATGATTCTGTCAAGGTCTTCAGATGTGATTTTTTTGATGCTTCAAGCCATACAAACAAAGTTCAATTCACTTCGATAGTACTGGGGTGAATAAAGCAAAACTGTGTGCGTGACTAGATATCACTAGAGGTTCAGTAATTTGAAATATTTCTTTTAGTAATTTGGTTGAACTGACTCTTTAGAGATCTGTAGAGGAAGGTGGTCTCAGCTGAACTGAAACCTATTCACCGGATGAGTTTTTAATGCAGCTCTTGCTCTCTATGGTGCACGGAAAGTTTATGTTTTCCTCATTAGAAGCAGTTTTTACTGTAGAACATGTGAGAGTTGCGAGTGTGCAGAATAGATGAGGATGAATGTGTGACTGGGGACTGCTGCCAGAGCCGAGTCTCTCTCATTAGAGCTGATAAGGATGGATAATGAATGTGAGATCCTCCTGCAGTCGTCTGTGCGTGGGATGATCGGAGGGAGAAACGCTGATCCTTCAGGCGCTGTGGAGGCATTTTCCAAACAACTCGTAACGTGCTGCTGTGAATCTATTGACTGGGTCTGATGAGGGGAGGCGGAGAGCTCCGCCGCCAGCCGACGAGCCTTTCGGAGCATAAATCGTCCCCTGTTCTGCCAATTTGGAGGAAGAATGAAGCTCCTGCTGCTCCTCAGTTTCCTCTCTCAGCTGGCAGGAGTCATTCTCGCCTGCAGCCTTCTCGTCTTCAGCACACTGATATTTACTCTGCCGGCCTGTTTTCAGGCTTAATCGTTTTCAATGATGCTCTGCAGCTCAGCCGGGATTTGTTTTATGAAGCAGAGTGGGATGTTGGGTGAAGTGCCCTGTTAGTTGGAGCTGCACTTCAGTCCTTTCAGTGATTCAACTTGATTTTTTTTCAAGGAAGTTTGCTGTTTTTCTCCACTGCATAAATTCACTGGAGCATTGCTCAAGGGCACTTAAATTCCACACTGTCACAGTGGAGAGGTGATACAGCAAGTCAGCAAAAGTCATGTTTAAAGATAGAATCCTTCAGAATTCCATTAGACTTGGCTTACTCTGATTTAAAGCCTGTTGTGGACCGTTTTTTTTTAAAGATCTTGTAGAGTACTTCATTTTAGAGTTGGACTGAATTTCAGCGTTGTTGGAGGTCATTTTACGCGCAGTGTACGGTGAGGGAGCAGGGACTGATCCTCACCATCCATCGGACATTCAGATGCATTTCTGACATGTCAGAAATTTTTGTCGGCCATCTCTATGTTCTCACATGGGGTGCAGTTGGAAATACTCACTCCACACTCTTGCACACTCTGGATCCTTCATAAATTCTAAGTGCTTTGGAATGTACTGTTCGGTTATTCAGACCACCACACTCTCAGAGCAGCAGAACATACGTTGGGCCCTCAGAGAACCAAGTGCAGTAAATGTGTGATTTACTTAACTGTTTGTTAATGAGACAGAGCATTCTGTTTCATTTTAGTATTGAGCACCAGATTGGATTTACAAACGCACCTATAGCTGAAGCAGAGCCAAGAGTCAGTTCCCCAAGATCAGTGCCTTTTTTTCTCACTGCACCTGCCCGAATTGGGAAAAAGAGCATTCAATAGTGCCATGGCGACATAGTGCATCCCATGGATACAAAATATGGAGGTTTCCTTTTCCTTCTGTCATGACCCATATAAATGAAAGAAACATTGGCAATAAGGCATTACTGTGAACTGTACAGGTATAACCTTACAGACCTCCATTAGCAATTTCTACTTTGCCTGGAGCTTTCAAACTAATCTTTATTGACAGTTATCAATAGCCAGAACAGTCGGCAGGGGCTGACAGGCCATTTTGTTGTCTATTTTACACGTAGCCTGACAATCTGAATGTACAGTATGAACAACATAAATCGTGAGCTTACAGTATAAGTTGGAATTAAACAACATTTCTAAAAGCATACAGTGTATATTCCAAGTCACAGATGTTCCTGATTTCAATCTGAGTGCTTTATTATGTGGTATCTGTTGATTCCGAGTCCAGTAAAATACTTAAAGTAAATCAAATATGTATCCCACAGCAAAACAAGAAGCTGCAACCTGAATTACATATACTGCTCTTTGCTTATGATAATTAGGCTCATTCATTCATTCATTTTCCGTGACGTTTATCCTGAGGTTTATCCTGTTAGGTTTTGTGGGGGGATGGAGCCTATACCAGCTGACATTGGGCGATAGGCGTGGTACACCCTGGACAGGTCACAAGACTATCACAGGGCTATAATTAGGGTCAAAGTTTAGCAAATCAGGTATTTTGTCTGAGTTATTGATGTGCCCAAAAATGCAAAACACTGCAACACCAGCAGGCTGAGGTGACTGAACACAACAGAGAACAGTAAAGTCGCCCAGGTGGTGCTGAGTCGACTTCCTCCAGGCTGAAGATGATGGACAGTTTTTATTTCTCAGGCCTGCCCAACATCCACAGACGTTTTGACTTGTTAATGTGACCTCCTGTGTGTGAAACTGTTTGTTGGTTGGTCACATTCTAAGCTGATGGGTATCTTCAGAATTGTGCAGCTGTGAGGGTGAATGGATAGATGTGATTGGTGGACAGGTTTCTGCTGAAGTTGCATTTCTCTGTGGTTTCTTGTAGTCCCGCTCGTCCTGTGGTTATTTTCTCTCTTGTCACCTGCATCACACCTCCTTCCTTCCTCTTCATGCCTCGTCTCTCTTCTTCCTTGAATTGTTTGTTTTGTAAACCGCAGTGACGAAAGGAGGCAGCACAACACGCCATTTGTAGTTACTGTGTTGTTTATGTGTCCGTAGTGATGCTGCTCTCTGTCTGTGCTGATGAGGAGGACTTTTTTTTATCATAGTGAGAAAAGTAATAATCATGACACACTTAGACACACCAACAGGAAACACACCCCTGTTTGTTTAGTTTAAAACAGTCTCCACCAACAGAAAGACATGAGATTAAGAACCATTTTCTCAAATAACTGTTGAGGTGAAAATATTTTTACCCCTTAAAGCAGCTGTGCGGAACTTTACGTTTTCGTTGATTATAGCGCCCCTTTGGTCACAGCGGTATGACACCCACAGCCTGGTGTCTTAAAATTCCGACTGCAGCCGGCAATTACCGCATGCATTTGTTTTGGAGAGCGAGAGGATTAACTAACGTCAGGTCAGTCCAAGTAATTAGTGGAAACAGCAAAATTACTCAGTAAATTCTCCTGTCGTGTTTATGTTCAGAACTAATCTAATCTGTTGTGTATTTTGAGCTACTAAGGCTACCGTAGTAGTGTGAGTCTCAAGTTATTCTGGGTAATGTAGTAACCATGGTTGTGCTACTGGAAACAATGAGAAGCAGCTGTGTACGTTCGGTGTAAGGAGGAATAAACAGTTAACAAGTCATCTGCAGAGTCCACATTATTATGTGAAAAGAATACTCCAACGATTTGGGAGTTATGCCCTTTCTCTCTCTGGATATCTTTTTTGTGTCTGTACGTCCAGTGGCTGGGTCTCAGCGGTTAGCATGGCGCTTGGAGGGGTTCAGTACATCTTGCGCGGAGGGATACACCGGTGAGCAACAGCTGCAGCTGGCTCTGGGACAGGTACGATAGGTCACTCGGTAAAAGCAAACAAAGAGACGACACGGACAATATTACTCAGTCGACTGAAAGCTGTCCATCAGCTCCTGCAGGCCTGGGTGTTTTTTCCAGTTCATCTTAAGAACATGAAAAAAAGTTTCAATCACGCCAGGATTAGTGATTGCTGCAAAGTTTTCACTCCTTGTGATGCACTCTCTGCGGCGCTTTTCCTCCTGATGATATATCTCCCCAACGATGGTAGCACCGAATCCCATTCTGTGCAGCAAAATGGGAGCGGAGGACTCAGCCTCTCTTCTCGCCGCAGCAATGCCCATTGCGTACTGCTTACTCGAAGAACACTGTAAACACGGCTCCTTCTTCTTCTGTGGTTTAATCGCTGTGGCCCGCTGCGGGCGAGCAGAATCACTTCCGCCTCGGGTGCCGTATTCTGGTTTGCTGACTTCCGCTGTGTGTCCGACCCAAGCGAGGCTACGCTAAATAGCCATATAGAGAAAGGCTTTTTTGTCGCTGTTCGGTTCATATGCGGATCTTCAAGGGGGGGTGATACGAACTAGGGACAGTTTTATTAATGGTAAAAAGTTCCGCACAGCTGCTTTAAAGCAACATCGTTTGCAATCGCCAACCGGTCATTTATAGCGGCTTTTATTTTGAATAAGTAAGACTGGGCAACTTTTTAAATTCAGAATATGAAGTGTATTCATTTTTCAATTGTAATTGTATTTTATTAAGTTCATTAATAAACTGTTCAACCATTTAAAATTTGACAGAGGTCTTAAATCATGAACATATTAAAGTTCCTCTCTGGGCGTTAATTAAATCCCCCAACAACTCTCCATGCATTAAAATGGCTTAGATGTAACTTCACACCTTTACCTCATTTAGTATGCAGGGATCTA